TGCCAAGGGACCCAATAATGACTTCATTTATTGGGAGGAGAGATTATCTAGGGTTCCTCATGCAACCAGGCAGTAGACAAAAGGGAAGTTACAAGGAGCATAGATGGGAACTGGGCACCTCTTTGTTCTAACACCAGCAGTGAAGTTACTACTTCACTACTTCAGCACTGAAGTAGATACTGCTAAGCAAGATCTGTGATGGTTCACATGATTCAGGACTAACAGTGTGCAAACCACATGTATCTTATTCCAAAGTCCATGTTCTTCAACATAATATTTGCTATTGATCACCATCAGCCATCTACTTGCAGCTCATTAATTAATTAATTAATTAATTAAGAAATACCCACTCAGTGTGCCTCCCAGGTGGCGCAGCGGTTGAGCGCTGGGTTGCGAAGCTGCCCACAGCCTCTGCAGTGCCAGTTCAATCCCCGGCTGCTCCCCGGCCACCGGAGGAGGGTCCCACATGGTGTGCAGACCCCTCCTGCCGCCCGCTGCTCCCCTCAGCAGTGTACTTCCGTCCTTCTGCCTGCTCTGCTCCCCGCTCTGGCTCTGGTGAATTCTCTCACCCTCCCGCGCTTCTGACTATACCCAGTGCTTGTATAAATAAATAAAAATAAATCTTTAAAAAAAAATACCCACTCAAAAAAGAGAGAGAAAAAACAAGAAATGCCACCTTTTGTCTCCATGCCTACCATTTTGCCTGGAATGCTCACATCAACCTTCCAAGTGGGAACTCCTGACTATCCTCTTGGAAATTTTGTCTGATTCCTAGAGAGTACCCCCAAACATCCAGACATAATTCTCCACAGTGTTTTAACATGAAATATAATCTATATGCTTATTGGCTTTTCCCATTAAACTGTAAGCCTCTAACCGGCAGGAGCCATATCTTTCATATATTTGTATCCTCAATAAATAATACTGAATAATGTCTACTGAAAGAATAACAAATATCTATTGGAAAAATATCTGGTCTCAATTTTCCATGATATTAACCACTGCATCATATTTTAGGCACTTGTAGTTAAGTTAGCATCTAATGAGTATTGCATTAAGCCCCTTAATTATTTGACATGGGTACTCCCCAATCCTCCCAATAAGTCTAAAAACTTATTAAAAGCTTAGTCCATATCATTTACTACTTCTGCATTCTCTTTAGCACCTATGAGTGCTGGGCATATGGTAAGCACTCAATAAATACTTGATGAACTGAATTAAAAACACAGTATTAGCACATTAATAGGAACAACTTATCATGCCCTACCAATCTAATTAAAAGATCTGGCCTTCTGAAGTAGAGCAATTGTACCCATATGGAAAATTTAATGAGAAGAAGAAAAATTATCCAATTGGACAGTTAATAGCTTTTCTCTTAACAGGAGTTTCACATATCTTATGGATAACAAGCGTCAACCTCTTGAGCGCAGAGTAAAAGACTCAAGATATTTCTGTATACATTAAAGATTATGTTTAAGGGCTCTGTCACAAACATAATTACTTAGAGTCCACTAGTCCTTAACAAATCCCTAACAGGAGTACAGGTTATATGAATATTTAATAATAAACTCAGTTAATGCCAAATCAACCTATGCTAAAAATGTACATTTAACCCTTGAACAATGCAGAGGTTAGGGATGACAGCCCCTCACAGCTTAAAATCCACTTATAACTTTTGACTCCCCTAAAAGTTAACTATTAATAGCCCACTGCTGACCAGACACCTTACCAATAATATAATTAACACATATTTTGTATATTATATGTATAACATACTATATTCTTACAATAAAGTAAGCTAGAAAAAAGAAAAGCATTACTAAGAAAATAATAAGTGGATCATCATAAAGGTTTTCAGCCTCACTGTCTTCATAATGAGTAGACCGAGGTGGGGCATAAAGAAGAGGGGGTTGAAAAATCTGCAGATAAGTGGATCCTAGCAGTCCAAATCCATGTTGCTCAAGGATCAAATATATATGGTCATCTTCATATAACAGCAGCCATTTACTCATTCAATATATATTTATTAAATGCCTACTAATGGCAAGTGCTATTCAGTCTTAGGAATATGAAGATGATGAGAACATAGATCCTATGTCAGTGGCTTCTAGCTCTGCCATGTTGCAATGGCATTTAAGACTACAAGGTGAATGGCACCTCCAGGAGTTGCTCAACAAGAGCACTTTGGAGGTAGCAGTCTGGTGGAGAAGGTGGTTAAACAGACGTATGATGATGTGAATAGTATTAAACCAGAAGTAAGTATGAGCTGCTATGGGGCCCCTGAAGAGAAAAAAAATTCAACCTACTAAAGAAATCAGGGAAAGATACGAAAGAAACTTATACCCAGATATGAATTCAATGTGAGCTGAAATGTGAGGAAGCTACCAAGAGAGAAACATCTGGGATGGAATCAAATCAGAAACTATGGTTGCAAGCAGAGTAGAGAGGGTTCAAAGCAAACCAACCCAAAACAAATGATGTAGGAGAGTCAAAAAATATTATACTGGGCCTCCCTGGTGGCGCAAGGAGTTAAGCATCGCACTATGAAGCAATCCCCAGCAGGCCAGGGAGCAACCCACATGGCAAAGCAGACCTCTCCTGTCTCGCCCGCTGCTCCCCTCAGCAGTGTATTTCAGTCAATCTGCCTTTTCTGTTCCCCACTCTGTCTCTGTTGAATCCTCTCACTCCCCGCATCTCTGGCCTGTATGCCAGCTCTTGTGTGCATAAATAAATAAATCTTTAAAAAAATATTATACTCCTTGATGTTAAGTTTGAGAATAAGACACATCTATACAAAAGAAATTAAACATCTGGCATAAAGCATAAAAGGATAGTCTTTAAAACAATATATGGCATTCAAGTTCAAAGAGCACTGATCACTAAGAGTTAGAAAGAGCTGTCAGGAAAACCTTCAGAAAAGTAGGAGAGGGTACTTGGGGAGGGGTATCCCTATGCTAGAAAAACCAGTGTCATTAACAAAAGCTGGGATAGGTACTTCGTATCTGTGGGATCATACAGAGATCTGAAGGTTTATGGGGGGAAGCAGTAAGGAAAGAATCAGACACATGAGTGAAGCCTGACTGATAAGAGGCAGGAACAAAAGCCTAGTAGTTCAGACATTGTTTTGGACTCATAGTAATTCTGATTATTCACCAAACTGCTAAATAGAAACAGGTGGGGAGCTTTAAAAAGTATAACTCAGACTGAAGTTCATTGGCTATCAAAATAAGAGTCACTGGTGGGGGTAGGGGGGAGGCGGCATTAAAATATAAAAGCACACAAGGTGATTCTAAAGTACAGTCCAGATTGGGAACCACTGGGGTGTAGGATAGAAAGGTGAGGCATGACATATGTGGTTAGCACCCAAGCTTGATTTAAGTCCCCTTTTATAAGCAACAATTCTGAGTTGTAGATTACCCATTGAAGTTTACTGTCTAACCTGAGCTAAACAGTCTTAATTTTATAGTTTCATTTCCCTTGTGAACAATGCCAAGTTCTGAAAATAGGAAGAAAAAAAAAACAAACCATCAATTCCTCTTACATGAGTGGTTCGCTAACTATAGTCTACAACTTCAGAATTTTATTTCCATGCTGCCCCCCACACAACTAACTTAGAAAATAATTATTATTTCCATACTCTGCTGCCCGTACATCTCACCAATGAAGTGTTTTAATACTAAGGTATGTTCTAGGTTGCACTGATGTTTTACAAAACTTCTCTTCAAATATAGAGAATCTAATACCTATATTTATATATACAAAAGTTATATTGCTTAGACCAGAGCAAATTGTGAGGTTAAGTGTTCATTCTTGTAGTACCTAGAGATACTATACTATTGCAGGTATCAAAAGTGCAAAGATTACAAAGTATTTTGCTTATTAAGCAATGGATACTTCACAAATAAATAAAACAACAAATGTATCCCACAGAGCAACTCTGCACTACACTGAAGTGTCCTGTGTGGGAGGAAAAAGACATCAAGGTAATTGGAGAGTGTGACAGCCTGTTGATCCTCCAAAAAGCAGGTTTGTGTGTTTGCTTGCTTGTTTTCTAAGAAAAACCAAAGGTAGGCTATGCTTCAGGATCCATGTTACTCACCGAAGAGTTTGTTCAAGAAATCTCTATGTAACTCTCCTCATGCGAATTTAAGTGAGCCACAACTGTCTTGTTTAGCGTGGTGTTAGGAGACTACATCTACTTAAGGTAAATATGTTATGAGGACATAAACTGGAAGTCGAAGGCTGAGACACAGGTTTGCGCAATCTCTTGTTTCCAGTTTAAGTTAGTAAACTCGAAGGACCCCATCCCAGTGTCACCAGAGTTGGACAGTGGAGAGGGAAGGTGGGAGCGAGTATGGGAAAAACCAACAATTAAAATATTAAACAGGATCAAAAATCCAGAAATTTTTCTTCGGAAATACACAGCTGGAGAGTTGGAGGTTTGCTTGAACTGCTCTGATTAAGAAAGGGGGAAAAGGGCTTCTCTAAACAGAAAACGCATGTGTAACTCTGCGAGAGGGGTGAGAGTTTCAAAAGCGAGCCGCAAGAGTCTGACCAGTGGGTCCGAGAAGAAAATTCAGAGCAAGAAAAGCGGGGAAGGAAGAGACAGGAAAAGGTGAGGGAGGCGGGCAAAGGCCATCCGGTAACAACCTGGACGCCCAGCTCTTTATGCGCCCGGGGCGGCGCGGAGTCCCTCCAGCCCCGCGCGCAGCTGGGGGTCGGGGTGCTGCCCGAGCCCCCCACGGGCCTGGCACCAGGGGGCGTGGGGCTCCCGGCGGCCGGGGAGAAGAGGGGTGCGCGCACCGCCCGCGATCGAACCCCACCAGCCTCCGCACTCAGGGGTCCCCAGGAAGGCGGTACACTTTGCGCAGCCTTCGCCTCCGGGAGCAGAGAGGGGGTGGGTGGAGCAGAACCCGGAGCCGCCCCCCGGAGCCGCCCCCGCAGCCCGGGCCCCCGCCCCCAGACCCGGCTGTCAGAGGCCCCCTCCCGCAGTCACTCACCCGCGGGCTGCGCGGTCCCGGCCGCGCCGGCGGCGGCGGCGACCCCCGCCTGGGTCATGATCCCAGGCGGGCAAGGCAGAGGTGTCCGGCCACCCGGGCGAATCTCTCCGTCCGCGGCCGCCGCCTGCTGCTCTGGGGCTGGGGGAGCGCGGGCCCAGGCCCTCCTCTCCCCCCGCCCCCGCCGCCTCTTCCTGCGGCCGCCGCCGCCGCTGCGTGCCCGAGCCCTCAAGGCCGGAGACCCGGCGGCAGCGCGGCCTCAACTTTCCCAGCCCCCCTCCCCCCGCCCCTCCCCGCCCCTCCCGCGGCCGCCTCTCCGCACGCGGACAGCCTACCCTGGCTGCGCCACACGCCCGCCCCGACCACGCAGCTCACCAATCCGAGCCGGGGAAGGTTGCCGCAGTGGCCAATCAGAGCCCAGAATTCCATTGCGCTAAACTAGAGGGCGGGAGGAGGTGGAGGGAAAACTGAAGAGTGAACGGGTCTCGGGCGGCCCAATGAGGAGGGCCGGGGGGCGGAGGTGTGCAAGTTGGGTTGAAGGAACAGGAAATATTCTTAAAGGTAGAATGATGGACAGGAAGGAAAGCCAGTAGATGAACGAGAAAGAGGTGGGCCTGGGCTCCTTAAAGGGGACGCTTCGAAAACCTAGAAAATGAGATGTTTTAAGAAACTTCTTTGTATCGTGTTCTCTGCTCTGCTTTCTCTAGCTTTCGGGGAGTTTGGAAGTGGAAACACTGCAAAGGAAGAGGTCACGGAAGGCTTTCAAGAATAATTAGAGGTCTCCTAGCCTAGAGGGCAGGAAGGCTGGACGGTGCCTCTGTAAGAAGAGGCGGGAAAGAAAGGAGAGGATTCAGACGCCTCCGACTGCCCTTGCGGTGGAAGATCGCTGCGGACCGGGCGCTGCTCGCATTTGTAGGTTGTGGTCATCTGTCGCCCTTCATTCGAAACAAAGCATGGATTCCTGCGAACTGGAGATGGCCCTGTTAATGAATGTCCTCTGGGCCTCCCGGCTGGTGGGCGGGGGTAGAGTGGAGAGAGCCTGTGGCATTGGGGGATGGGGTTTGGAAACCCAAACTTGGGTTCCTGGAGACCTGGATCTAGGAGGCTTGGGTAATGGAATGGAGAACTCCAGGGTGGATTTGGAGCCCTGGAACTGTAGCCACAACTCTGGTTTTCCTGGTTTTACTTCATGTGCCATAATCCCTCCCCTCCTGAAACAGGTGTCTTCCACCTAGTGGTGGTGAAAGATTTCCTAGCTCTTCCTCACTCGTTTTGGAAATGTCCCAGATCTTAGATGTCCATGCTGCAGACCAGAGAGCTTCCAGAAAGTGCACACAAGTCATGGGATTACATGAATCAGTATATATAGAGGACCTTGCATTGAGAAAAAGGTGTAAAGTTAAAGAATTACTGCATGTTCTATTTGTTCAGCAATTTAAAAGCTATAATGAAGCAGGAAGTTTTAATGTTCAATTATAAACTATGAACAGTCTGGAATTTTTCTTTAACCCATGCACTTCGGCATATGAAGTTCTAATTACCTTTTGAATGGACAAGTCAAAACTGCGGAGGAGAAAACCCTAAGATTCAGTCTAATGGTAATACTCATAGCACTTCCATAAAATTGTGTAGTATTAGTATGTCCTGCTGTAGGAAATAATTTTCATTGTGACCAAAATATAAGGTATTCTATTTTTTAAAATGTTTAGTATTTATGCATAGAGTACCTATGATTTTTGAAACACACTACAATGAAGTCTAACGTAAAATCCCACAAATAGTTTTAGATGGTTCAGAAAATAGAATTTAAGAGTATATTTGGATCACCGTTAAAATACACATTAATGCTTTTGGGCACAATTTAGAAATGTTAAATAAGAGATGTTTCTGTTTAAAAGTATGTTAGCCTTTTGATTTAATCCTCATGGATCTTTTCCTTGGTTTTGCCCCCTCAGCAATGGTTTACTGCATTTGATATGGGAGGTGACATCAAATTATTACACCAGTCCAATGTTCTGGCTAGATTGTATGTGCTTACAGTGCCTATATAAGTGAAACTGGTCTTCCTGCTTATTTAGGCCAAGTCCATTTTCACATGGAAAGAATGAATCTGATCTTCAACCCAAACGTAAGACACTTCAGTATGTCTTAAAATTTGTATGACTTAAAAGCCCTTGTTTGCATCTCCAGTTTCATTTCATGACTTGTCATTTTCCCAATTCCTTGGGATGAATGACTAGAGGAGCCGGGCAGCTGACCTCCTGGTCTGGGGCTGTTGTGGGGTTTTTTCCTCCACGCAGCCCCTCCCAAATCCCGCAGGCTACGGCTGCGCCAAAAGTACTAGGGACCCATGAATGCGGGAACTGGAGGGGTTCGAGCGCGCAGCCCTCTTCTCACCGATGTCCGGGAGCCCTGCGATCCGTGGTGCCAGGCCATCGGGAGGTCGTTTTGCGTCCAGGCCCCCAGCTTGGTGCCAGAGAGGCTATAAAACCAGCGCTTTCGTCTTAAAGCCTTTAGAAATGAATGGCAGGGGGTAGCAGCGAATGGTCAGCTCTTGAAATATACTTCCGTATTTCCAAATGAAACTGCCCAATTGTTTTTTGAAAATGATGGCTATATTTCGTATTTTCAACAATAAATGTATGCAGATTCCAGATGCCACACATCATCTCCAACCCCTGATATTGTCACTCTTATATTGTAGACATTACAGTGGGTGTGAAGTAGTGATCTCAAGTGATTTTAATTTGGATTTCTGTAATTACTAGTAGTGCTGGGCATGTTTTCTTAGGCTGGTCAGTTGCCTATCTTCTTTGGTCAAGAGCTGTTCAAATCTAGTTTGTTTCTAAATCAGGATGTTTGTTGTATGAGTTGTTAAAGTTCTTTGTATGATCTGGATAAAAGTCCTTCCTCAGATATATGTTGTCATATATGTTGTCGGATATATATTTTTTCACCTTGTATCTTGAAAAAGTAAAAACCAAATTGCTTTCCTGGGGTATAATTGACCTAAAACAAACAGAACAGATTTAAAATGTACAATGTGATGTTTCCGCAAATGTATACACCTGTAAAACCATCTCCACAGAAATGAACACGCCCTCAAATTTGCTGATGTTCTTTATCAATTCTTTCCTCTTATCTTCATCATGTTCTCCAGACAACCATTAATCTGTTTTCTGTCACTATGCATTCATTCTACTTTTTTTTTTAAAGATTTATTTATTTATGCACACAAGAACTGGGGTATAGGCCAGAGGTTTGGGGGGTGAGAGGATTCACCAGAGACAGAGTGGGGAACAGAACAGGCAGATTGACCGAAGTACACTGCTGAGGGGAGCAGCAGGAGAGTCAGGAGAGGTCTGCTACACCATGTGAGTTGCTCCCTGGCTGGCCAGGGATTGAATTCATGCTGTAGTGACTGCGGATAGCATCATACATTGTGTCTTAACCCCTTGCACCACCAGGGAGGCCCCACCTTCTTGGATCTTAACATTTCTTTCAGGAGTGTCCTGTAGTTCTTCGTCGTCTTCTTCTTTTTTTTTTTTTTTTTTGTATTCAGATCTTACATATAACTTGTTAAATTTAGCACTGAATATTTCATATATGCTATTATTGTAAATGCTATTCTTAAAATTTCAATTATTGTTATAGCTGGAAACACAGCAGATGTTTCTATTCTGTGATCTTATGACACTTAGTTGTTCTAGTATTTTTAGAATCTATTTTAGCATTTTCTGATTGTGTTAGAGACCATTGTCATGTCAGACCATTTTCTTTTCATCCAATCTGTGTGCAATTTATTTACTTACTTATTGTGTAACTATACTGACTAGGAATTCCAGTGCAATATTGTATAGAAGTGTGCTTCTCCCAATCTTAGGCATAAAGTATCCAGTCTTCCACTAAGTACACTATTACATATGATAGTTGAAGGCTTTTTATATATACCTTCCAAGCTAAGTTCAATTCTTTTGTCATAGTTTCTTTTTATGTGCATTGAATTTTGTCAAATACTTTTTCCCTGCATCTATTGAGATAATCACATTTTTCTTTAATTTGTTAATAGGAACTGCACAGATTAAATTCCAATTGTGAAATTAACATTTTAATCCTGACTAATCTTAATATACTCTTTCAGTAGATTGCTGGATATAATTTGCTACTATTTTCTTAAGGATATTCCTGTCTTTATCCATGACGGATATTGGTCTATAATTTTTTGGTAGCACCTTTGGTTTTGCTATCAGTATCATGCTATTTCTCATAAAATAGGTAAGGCAATATTCTTTCTTTCTATTATTATTTTCTTGTAGGGTGTAGAATCAGATTTATTTCTTAAGTATTTGACAGATTTCACAAGAGAAGTCATCTGGGCCTGAAATTTTCTTTGTGGGAAGAATTTAACTACAAATTCCATTTCTTTCATACATATAAGGCTACTCAAGTTAGTTATTTTTCTTGGAAGCAGCTTTGTTGATACAATTCATATACCACACAACTGACCTATTGTAGCCAAATGTTCTGTGGCATGGATTTGAAATATTTTGATTAACTATTCATGAGCTAATGTATATTTGGATTGCTCCTACTTTTTTGGCTATCATGAATAACACTGCTATGAACATTCATGTGCAAGTTTTTGTATGGACATGTTTTCATCTCTCTTGTATATGCCTAGGAGTGGAGTTGTTGAGTAGTATGGTGAATGTATGTTTACTCTTTGGCAGAACTACCAGATTATTTGTATTTGAATGACCCAAATGTTTTTAATTTTTTTTCTATGTCACTGAAGTTTTTGCAATATTCCTTTCTTATCCTTTTATTGTCAGTAAGTTCTATATGTCCTCGTTCACTGCTGATGTTGATAATTTGTGTTGTGTGTTTGTGTGTGTGCATGTATTTTGGTCAGTCTGGTTAGTGATTCAATTATTTTTTCAAAGAAATAAGCTTTGGCTTCATTTATTTTTCTATTACTTTTCAATTTTATTGGTTACTACTCTTCTTTCTTTCCTTAAGCTTAGAGATTTAATTTTTGAA